ACCGACGCTGCCGACGCCGTCTACATCGGATTTCAATGGGCGACGACGAGGCGCTAGTGGCGTCCGCTAGGGGCGCTCCACACGATGCTGGGGCTGCGCTGAGGCGTTCGTGTCAGTTTTTCGCTTCGCACCGGCGCGCGCGCGCGCGCGCGCGCGTCGAGCTGCGCCGTTTTGCACTGGTGCGGAGGGGCAGCGGATGATGCATGATGCGGGGGAAAGGGGGGGGGGGGGGGGGAGGAAGAGGAGAAGGGGGGGGTGCCGCAGGCAGCCAGGTAAATTCGGTGGACTGAGAAATTACCTTCTGTGGTGGCAGTTGTAGGTAGACCCAGGGGCAGATTCAGGTGTTTCCAGAGTGGGGGGGATCTGCGCATAAAATGTTTAAGAACATGTCCCCCCCCCCCCCCCCCCTCCTCCGCCTGCACCTCTTCTCAGGCCTAAATTTTTACAGATGCAGAACTCAAAGGTGGGACAGTGGGAGGATCAGGGCATATCATTCTCCCTCTAAATCTGCCACTGTGATCTACCTCTCATTTTAAAAATCTGTGGCCTAGGAAAAAGAGTAAAACAGAAGAAAACTCTATTTGTATTTGAATGAATACATTATGTAATATCTCAAGAGATGGCCCACCTAAATTTGAAAGCAAATTGGGTGAAAATAAGGGATATACTACTAACTTTCGGTGTGCCAAAAAATTAAAAAAGTTGAAAGAAATTTTGGTTCTAGATTTTGTGATTTGCAAAACTCGTGGTTGCAGGGAGGGGCAACAAACCAAAGACGGCCGTCCTTTCCAGTCAGCAATATTTGCTTATCTCCCGCAGTGGTTAAGTAATGCCATTTTTGCCGGGGTGTCCATTGGCCAGGGCCTCGGAACTACTAGATGCGGTCTATCTTTCGGTGTTTCTGAAAAAATGGGAATTCATGCCGAAAATGGGGGGTGGGTTATCTCTCAGGATATTGCGGTAGTAAGTTTTTGTGCACTTTAGTCACAGACAGAACGAAAGGGAGGGATTTGTCCCGCCTCTAGCGCAAGTTTTCTACAACGTTTGGGAGTCTTGTGAGTCTCGGGCTGCGCACACAGCTAAAACACAGCGGCAGTCTTGGGTAGTATCGCGATACTTGTATATAACTTGTTAGTTTTTTTGTTAACTTTTAACTGTAGCTCGAAACATTTTTCTTTAAGTAACTGTAACAACTTAAATACTTCTTTCAAAAAGTAACTACAAAGTATCTGCAAAGATACAGATACTTTTCGCAAAAATATTACCCTATTTTGTGAACTCTAGGACGGGTCCGACCATGCGCGGAGGTCAAGCCCCACATGAGACGCGACAAAATAAAACAAGAACTGAAAACATTTTTTGTTGGAGCAAAGTGCCGGCGCAGAGGGCTGACATTTTTCTACTTCTGCTTTTCCTTTTTCATCGCGCGGAAAAGTGCATTTAGGATTTGCTTTATTTCAACCTTTCCGCGCATGGCTCTCTCACCCCGTCTTCACTCTTTCGACCTCGTTGAACACCCCTGCCTCTTCACCCAAGCGACTGAGCAAGCGCGGAAACACGAAATGCGAAGACGTCTAATGGTGAACTATTTAACACCGAACAAGAGCCTCTGTCGTCGGTGCCGCAGCACTCGCGGTGATAGCTTTCTTTGCGAAAACAAGTCACCGCCAGTAGAAACTGTCTGACCGGGGCCACAGATGATATTTCTACTGGTCGACTTGCCCGTGAGCCTGTCATCCACAATCGACTATATTGTTCTGTGTTACATAGAAGAAATTAAAAAGAAAAGCAGAATGCATTCCAAGACAACTTTGCATATATATATATATTTTTTTGTCCACTCTTTTCTTTACCTTGCTCAAACGAGAGGCTGTCATGAGAGACGAACGGTAGGTGTTACCATCGCCTGGCTATGAACTGCGCTTTAGTCTTGTCGAATGTAGTGGCGATAGCTTCTCTCCTCGCTGCAAACACTGCAAAGAAGCATACGCAGTCGGGAGGTCCTCTTTCCCCAACCTTTGCAAGCACCTCGGGGTGAGCTTAGATTTTTATTTCTGGACACTACTGCTAGGCATTGAGATGGAACGAGGGAAGGCTGAAACATCGACAGCTCTCTCCAGCCTCGGCAACTTTCTTGCCATTAGGAAAGCTTTTTATGCCTGAATGTCCAGCGCACCCTTTGAGCTCCTCTTTAGCAAGGGTCAGGGTGTGCATCACAAGGGGAAAGTTAAGTCATATTTCAAGAGCAGGTGCTGCTGTGTTACAGTATCAACTAAATAGTTTATTTAGTCCATCTTGTGTCGCAGCAGCAAACCCTTTGATTAAATAAAATCGACGGTAACGGTATATATCTCCAAAAATGAAATGAGAGTTTTCTGAGAGATCCAAATAAATATAAATCATAGTCATTGGGTGTTGTCATCAATGTCTTCAGAGTTAAAAAAAAAAAAAAGAAACGAAAGTATCTTGAAAGTGACTAAGTTACTATGACTAAGTGTAACACATTACTTTTATTTTTATGTGACTGTAGCTTTTACTTCTATTTTGAAGTAACTCTAGTTTTTACTTTTATTTTTAACTAACATAGCTTAAATACATTTTTGACAAACTATCCGTATCTGTAACAAATTACTTCCTAAAAGAAACTTGCTCAAGACTGCACGATGGAAAGCAACGATCACATGCTGGAGGCATTAAGCGCGAAACATATGCGCGTCCAAACTGTCCGATCCGACGTGCGAACTGCGGGAACGACGTTCGGAGGCGAGGGTTTTCGTCACACCAGAGCATCGGATGGGGGCTTTGTCTGACGCTGGCTTGCGACCAACTTGCCAGATATCGCCGCACCGTTGTCCGATTTTCGGAAGGCCGCAGCCAATGGCAGCATGGATGGCGCGAAGGTCATGTTGTCACGTTACTTTCGGACCGATCGAGCGAGGAGGCACTACGTGGCTCGGGGAAGCGGATGTGGCGGTGCGCGATACGAGTCGTGGTTGTAAAGGAAACGGACGCCTTTGAGTTTTCCTGCGCGCACAAAACGAGCTGCTGATTTCGCGCGCCAAAGCAAGCTGGCTTTCTGGAACCGATAGGGACCGTCGAAACCCGAATATGCTCAGTTTCACCTTACGATGGACAGCAGCGGACGCTACAAGCCATTCCAATGTCATGTGAGCATCACGTGAACTCCGGGAGAGACGCAGCAATGCGCGCAGTACGTGGTCACGTGATTCGTACGCAGTGTTCGTTTTGCTGGGATGGCTCCTAAGGTCCGCTGCGGTCCATCGTGATTAAGTGATGTTGAGCAGAAAAGTAGCCTCACGGAAAATCTTCATACAAGCACACTTTAATAGAATGTAATAAAATAATTGTTTGTTTTAAAGTCAGAAAAACTAAGAAGTTCGAGGGAAGTATTTCAGTTCTCTAGGCTAGGTGGCGCGAGCTACCGCCCATTATACACCTTTCCAAAAAACACTCGACCCCAGGGGCAACAAACCGTTTTCGAGCCTAGTCACTGAGTTTGAGGCTAGGCTCTCACCGGCGTCCCCCCTAACCCTAACCGAGCGGACTGTGATTTCAATAGGCGCAGCCTGCAGAGGCGTAGTTTCAAACGCTGCTGGCGGCTAAATTCTCGTATTTTCCCGCTATATTTTGTGTTTCATGGTACATGTACGTTCCCGAGGACATTGAGAAAGCATTGTGCCATATTTGAAAAAACAAAAAAAGCAAAATAAAACTGTAAACAATTTTTGTTGGGTACGCGCGCGACGGAACGAATGCGACTAGAATGTACAGTTCTACGGTAGTTATTATTATTTTTTTTTCTTACGATAAGTTTTGACGGCGCCGCGGGATTCGCCACATGTGGAATGACAAAGTGCTTTGCTGTCAAAAATAAATTGCAACAGAAGAGGGCCGAAAGTCATGCATTTTTCATGCTCACAAATAACGTGTTTACCGATGGACAGGACAGGAAGTGTTAACATTCGAACAATATATCGTACGTACCACTCGACGGAGCGTTATCCGAAAAGAATTTATTTGAGAAAGATCTCAAATAACACAGACACAGTCGACAACAGTCACATCTTGACGATCGGACGGAATCCGAGATGACTTCGTTTTGGGGCACGTTTTGGGGAGAGCTTCCTTTTTTCACAACCGCACCAAGGCAAAGAAACAAACGCGACTGACCCGTTTCTCACCCCAACCCGGACAACTATATTTTTGGAGATGACTGAGGATTCTACGCGGATTCTCTGGGAGGGGGGAGAACAATGTTCGCAAAATCGCGTCGAGGGTCGTTCGACGTCCTTCACCTCCTTCGTTTCCCGTGAATGTCCAGCAGAAAAGCTTGACTGGCAGGCACTTACTACCAGCCTTATTTCTCACAATGGAAGATAACACAAGAAGGGTACGCAGCACGCATAAAAAAAAAAAAAAAATTAAGTAGAAACTTTCAAGAGGGGGGAGAAAACGTCGAATGCAAAACCGCAGAAACGTACGTAGAGAACCGCGCTGAGCGGGTCTTCACAGTCCCAGAGAGTGGCAGAAACTTTCCAGCTGATAGAGGGCGCGAGAGTCGCACCAGCCGCATCAGCATCAGCAACATGGCGGCGGCCTAGGAGCGTTTTTTGGAAAGGTGTATAAATATAGCCGTTAGCATCCATCCATCCATTCGGTAGAGGGATACCCGAAACTGGGCGGAGGTTTCGACACATGGTTTTCGACGCAATGACGCGTCGGAAACCATGTGTCGCGATCCGTCCTGTGCGGCGATTCGGAGCAGCCATCTTCCCTACAGTTTGCACGCCGGATCGGACAGTTTTGACGCGCATGTGTTTCGCACTTTAGGAAGGCACTCCCTGTCATTCTCACCGAGTCAGTGACTGTAGTTGCAAGCTCACCGCTCGTATTTCAGTCTTTGTCTCTCTACTCGCTGCCCTCCGACCTTTCCGCGCTGCCTGCTGTGTGCTGACATTCTCACTTCCCCTTTGTTCCAGGGGCCCGCTGGAGAGCGTGCGTCAGATGGAAGCGATGATGGAGGGCATGATGTCCCCGCTGGGCCCCATGCTAGGGGCCTTCCCCGGCTTGGCCCCTCTGGGGGCCCCCCGCCGGTCGGCCAGTCAGGCCCTGCTGCCCACCTTCGCCTCGGGTGGCTTCGGGTCGGGGCTGTTCCCCTCCGTGGACGACATGTTTGCCAACATCGTGAGTGGCCCCCTCGGTGCTCAATCCATTTCGTCGCTTTGGCCGACTTATAGGTCGATGCATTAGGGCGAGTGAAGCGTATTCACTAACGTTTGAAACATAACTAGGATTGGCTTACTTGGAAAAGCATAGAGTGGTTTATACCTGTCGAGAGTTTGGATAAATTGTGATTAAATATATGAATAAATTTAGGCTTGGTGTAAGTATCCTTCATGCTCTTGGAGCTTCAGGTGGATTGAAACAGCGGATAACTAATTTTCCTTATCTTGTAAAACTGCGAACGATAAAATTGTGTTTACAAAAAAGTGATATAAATCAATTAAGTTCTATCTAAATTAAAACCTAAAGAAAGAAAATAGTGATATTTTTTTTACCCTGAGTAGGCTGGATTGCAGAGAGGCAGGCCGCCAGTGGCACTAGCTGCCTGCCTCTCCGCCCTCGCTAATCGAACCGGTTGTGCCGCTCATTTCGATTCCAAAATGGTCACACGGTACATTCTGTGGTCACGACGGCAGTCTCTCCTCTGCAACACAAGAGAAGCCGCGGCACCCCCTCGGAGAGGACGCTCGCCTGTGCGCATCCCCTGAGAGGTTGATTTCTCCTGCACGCAGGGCCGGCTGTCCCAGGACCCCAGCTGCCACAGCTTCTCCTCCTCGTCGGTGATGACCGTTACGACGGACGGACAGGGCCGCCCGCAGGTCTACCAGGCATCCCAGTCTACCCGCACCGCTCCGGGAGGGGTAAGGAAGTGCCCGCACTTGTGGAGACAACCGCGCTGGGCCCAAGCGCCCGCAGGGGCGGATTTATGGGTCAGGCTTGGGCAGGGCGGTGGGAATTTGGCTAGGCAGAGGGGGGAGGTTTGCAGAGAAATCTAATGTCTCGGGTGAAGCGGTACATAGATCTATTTCAGTGATCTAATAATTGCCATTTCTCCAAAAACTAAATACTTCTTACTGAACACAAGCTGGTGTATGTCATTTCCTTCCTAAAAAAAGTTGTCTTTGAGAGGCTTGGTCGGGGTAGGGGAGGGGGAGAGCAATTGCACCCCCCCCGCCCCAAAGCCACCCTTGATTGCCCGTAGCACTGCCCCAGCCAGTGTTTTTGGTGTTGGGCCACCTATCCATCAGAGTGCTCCACCCAAACGTGTTGCGGGTACTGCCAGGGAATGCCACGGATGGTCGCATTCTCGGCAGCAGGCCATAGAAGGGCTGGCAAAGGGACGGACGAAGCTTCTTTAATTAGTTAGTTGCAGAGCTAGCTACGACAGAACGGGCGTCTGCCTCGTTCACCTCCACCGCTGTGCCACCGTCGAGATCGCAGTGATCTGTGTCCTTCCCCAGTTTGTGACGTCACCGGGTAGAAATAGAGAAAAATACCGTATTTGTTACATCATAGGTCGCACCCAATGTATAGACTGCAGGGGCAACATTTGGCTGAAAAAGAAGTGGTTTTCCTTAGATAGTCTGCATTAGGTGTTTATTTCATCGATGTCTTGCTCTTGTTAAAGATGACAAGTTGTTAGTTCAACAACAAATCACACCATTCTGACTAATGATACAATATCAATGTAAGTTTTCTTTTTATAGTTTGTATACTTTCCTGTATAATTCATATCGTAACAGTAACGGAAATGACCATCGTCGTTCTTTTTTTCGAAGGCCTCGCGACTGTGGCTCCTAGAAAACACCACTGTCACTTATTTACCTGTACTAATGTCTTTACAACCACAAACACTGGGTGCTCGTGCCACCAAAATCTGGCTCGAGCCACATTATTCACTTGAAGGCCCTTATCTTGCACGTCACCTGTGAGAGCATTGAAGGAAAACCCAATACTCTGACAGTCTCACCTCTTCTTGCCAGCTGATGCTCGGCATTATCTTGACAACCACACTGGACGACAATTGCCCCGGTAACGAGGAATTTTGAAAAATCAAATTCTCATATAGTTTTCAACTCTAGATAATGTGCACAGCATTGATCATCAAGTTTTAAACATGTGTAGTTTGCGGAATGTAGTCAGGAAATATGATACCTATAAAAATGCCAGGCGTCAGATGCCACTTGGAGACACATTTGGGGCGTAAAATTGAAAGAGAGCAGTTTTGTTGGACGGTGCTAGTTTTCTAGATGGCAAGCTTAACTCGGCACTGCAGACAGTGCCAGTGTCGACAATGGGCCTTTTGCAAGATTTCCACAACGCTGCACATAGAGTCCCGTGCCATAGCATCTACCAAATGAAGAGTATGAGAGGGCACCGGAGTTTTTCACCTGCACCGGCCCACTTGCGTTTGCCTCCAAGGTCGCCTCTGTCTTCTGCTAAAGCCGGTTGTACCTTAACGTTCCTAGCATTCCTTTCAATGCCACGGATGCCTTGCAGAAAGTCTATTGCCATTGATATTGGCACCGTCTGCAGCCTAGTTTGCAGTGACAACATGCCGTTTCGTGCCCCAGTGGGTTTGTCACGAAGTGGAGAAGAATTTGGGTGGCTCGAGCACGGCCTTGGGTCAATGCTCAAATCACCACGAGGACTTGCAGAGGTGACGCCGGTGTCTGGTGGGCACCCCATCCCCCCCCCCCCTTGTGTGCAGGTGAAGGAGACTCGCCGGTCACTGCAGGACAGCCGGTCGGGGGTGCAGGAGCTCACCATCGGCCACCATCTGGACGAGCGGGCGCACATTGTCGGGCGTAAGCGCAACCAGAGGACTGGCCACGAGGATCACAACGTCCAGTTCATCAACCTCGACGAGGGTGCGTGTTTGCGGCGGTCCGCCGCTCCGAGGGCGGTCCGCCGCTCCGAGGGCGGGAAGGGAGCCCCGCTCCGTGGCGCTTCCCCGCTTCGTGGCAAGGCGCTGGACACTTGCATCTTCTTAGGACTGAGTTCTCACAACCTCTTACGTCACTCATTTCCAATCTGCGTCCAGCGTTGGCATTCTCTGATTAAGCCATCTACCTCAGCACAACGGCTTCGTTATCTAGGAGGTGTTGCTCCTCCTCTCTGGCTCCGCACCAGCTGTGTGCGTGACTTCGCCGAAAGCGAACGGGCTCATTTTGTTGAGAGCCCCTAAGATGTCTGTCAGTTTGTCAGCGCCGGGGAGAGAGAGAGGTTGACGCGTTCTGACGTCAGCGCTTTGGACCAATGGGAGCATCGCTCACGTCACCCTCTCTCCCTCCTCCTCCCTCTCTTCCCGGCTCTGACAAATGAAAGACACCGCCGGGTCTTCATCAAAACGAGCATTCTAATGCTAACACATTAAAATTATGCACATGGACCGCAAGAAAGCGACCAAAGCTGCCACGTTGAGTATAGAGCATAAAATACTACTTTGTTCTATTAAACAAAAAATCATCAATTAGCAAGGGTGATGGTTATTTGCAAATTGAATTGACTGGCATTATGTCAAGAAAAAACCTCAACAGCCAGGCTATGCCAGTTTATCCCTGTTTAAGAAAATATTCACTTTGGTACATGCTATTTTAGGCCAGCTTTGATCTGAGCACAAAGGTGTGTGTAGATTAGTGTGAACAGTTTTGATCACTCCTTTTTGCATGAGTCTTTGCCTATATCTCTGTGGGTTAGGAAAACAAGCATTGTGAGCCATTTTCGTTCGAGCCATTTTAAAAATAGTATAATTGCTTTTAGTTCAGTTGCATTGCCATCATATATATTGTGAAACATATTTTGTAAGCTATATTTCATGATATATATGGCGACGATGTGCCCATTTCATAATTTATTCATCATAATTTATTCACCTTAGTTCAAGAACACAACTATGATTCAACTTTTAAGGCTGTGATGTAAAGTTGTACCAATCATGGGGTATTTTAGGCGACCTACCTCACTCCGTGACAACCTTTCAATTCTAAGAAAACTATTTTACTGAGGTGAACAAATGAATCTTGAGTCATAAACACTACAATTAGTCTACTAATGTAGATTTTTTTTACTGTTGCATCTAAAGTTAATAACACAATATGTCATTTTTGCTTTCTGAAAATTAAAAATGGTTTATATCAAGGGCAAAAAAATTAATAAAGCTACTCGTTTCATGGCGGAGATAGTGCCTATTGCGGAAACAAGGCGGAAAATATATTCTCAATTTGGTGTTTCAAACCGGTTTGAACCGCTAAGAAGCCGTAAACCCGAACCTGCATTCAAGAAGAGTGGTTGTTTGGGCGAGTTGGTTTGACATGTTATGCAATCTTGTGTGCAGGAAGGTCGAGGACAAAAGGGGAGAACAAGGACACAACAAGGCGCACCTTGTTGTGTCCTTGTTCTCCCCTTTTGTCCTCGTCCTTGCTGCGCACAAGATTGCATAAGATGCCGAACCTGAACCAAACCGACAAAATTTGAATTCTACACTTTGGTCAGAGCACGGCGGAAGGTATGAAGCGTGTGCTGGAGTCCAGGCATTCGAAAGACTCTCCCTGTCGTTCTCGTTTCGTCAAGGACCATAGGCTTTTATGAAACTGCGACCCACAAGGGCCTGACTGTTGAGTGAAAACGTTTACAGTTGAAAATCAAACCTTATATATCTTTTTTTTTGTTTAGAAAATGCTTGATTGAAAAACATTTGCTTTGGGTTTGCAAACTCCGGAATTTGGAGAGTCGGATGGGTCTTCATTTTAAGAGGGATCGCGTGACTTTCTTTTTCACCCTGGCGAGCTATTTGCAACTTTGCGGGAGGCTACGCCACCTGGCAGAAAAGATGCGTAAGAGGGAAGCGGGGGGGGAAGCCACCACTCAAAACTGGTACAGCCTGGTGGCCGATGTGTGAAACGGCGGAAAGGGCATCAAACTCACGGGGTTAGAGTCGCAAATGCAGTGCTTGAGGCGTACACTCACGTTCACGAAGCATGAACCAGGGCCGCAAAATGAGCTGCACTTCAGGTAATGACAGTTCTGCCATCTGAAAGTCTCTGTTGTGGGACATCTGACATAGCTGTAAACGCCGTTTCGTCCTCCCAAAATATTAAAACGGTCTACGACGTAGCGAGACATCACCCGAGCCTCCCCACGCTAGGAACCCCACGCTAGGGACAAAAAAAAAAAAAAAAAGTCGTCCCCGCGCTTGTGGTTTGCATAGAACAGTCAGGGAGATCTTCTTTCTTCCCCTGCTTGGTCGCTTTCATGGGGGCTTCCCATCCTGCATCTTATACAATCTTGTGCGCAGCAAAGGGAGGACAAAAGCAGAGAAGAGGACACAACAAGGTGCCTTGTTGTGTCCTCTTCTCTGCTTTTGTTCTCGTCTTTGTTGCGCACAAGATTGTATAAGATGTCAAACCAACTCGCCCAAACAACCACTCTTCCCATACTGCACTTGCGTGTTGGCCATGCAGAGGAACGCGCAGTGCACTAATTTTGTCCACCCAGCCAGCCGGCTTTTTTGTTTTGCTTCTAATTTGAGCAATGACATTTCCCAAAAAACATAAAAATTTCTTTTTCTTTTTTTTTTTTCGCAGTTGCATTTTTTGTTGTATTTTGCGGTCTGAGCAGCCACGAGGGTCAAAGAGCCGAAGTGCAAGGTGGGAAGGTGGTCTGCGCGAGAAGAAAGCTCTTCTTGAACGAGGGACTATACCTAACGATGTAGCAAGTTGAGGGAAAAAAACTATCCCAACTTCCAAGGCACAACGTTGGGATATTTTTTTCTTTTTCCTCAATGTCCTCCCCCCCTCTCCTTTATGTCGACCGCTAAGCCCCCACGTAAATTACACTTCCGAGGTCGCTGCCCCACGCTGCATCCAAAGCTTGACAAGTCACATTTTAGACAGGTAACTATCGCAAGTTGCGCCCGCTCTGCTCCAGCCATCAAAAAGGGCGCCTCCCACAAGATGATCGGACGACCAGGCGCCCTACTCCGAACATACTTGCTTAGGGGCTGTGGTAGAACCGAGTAGTTTGTCGGGTTTTCCCCGCTTCTGCCAGTTTTCGCCGGAAGAGCGCGTCCACAGAGCCAACCTTCCCGTTCCTCCCCAAATGGGCGAGTGTGGCATGGGCGTATTGCTCAACTGCCCAGTTGTCGGTGTGCCAAGGCGCTCAAGGTTCTCACATCGCGTGTTGCAGAGGAGGCGGAGACGTTCAACCATGAGTGGCAGCAGCGAGCCCAGCGGGGCATGCCGCGGCCCCACTCGATGTATGCAGCCCTGCCCGGACGGGATTCCTCCTCGCCCCTGGCAATCACAGCCCGGGGGTGAGTTCTCCCGACCCTTGTACCGGTTTGGTTCTCTTTCTTCGTATTTAGAAAGTTGGCTTAATTAGTTCTAACTAGAAAGATTCAGTTAAAGGAAAAACTGGGGTTTTTGCAAGATGCTTGCAAGCAGCATTTCATTTCTTTGGTACTTGTTGACTGGGACACCCTTGTAGAGATATACCGGGCGTCCGTGAGAAAACCGTTCCCCGTTTTACGCGCTGCAAAAACGAACAAGACATTGCAGAGAGCTCAAACTCCGTCCGAACGTAGCCCCAGCCGTTCGAGCAAGATGCCAAAGTTTCAACGCCAACCGCGGCCTTATTAAAAAATTATAAGCTATTTCCTGAAAATTTCAATGAAAAAATGGCGGCTAACGGAGTTCTCGAATACGTGGAGCCCTTTTATAATAATAATAATAGTCTTTATTTTATGTGTCCACAAACAGCACAGGACCTTTTGTGTGGTACACAGCAAATGCTGACAAGATAAAAAGTATAAGCACAGAGAAAACATAGGTATCCCCAAAAAGAACTATCAAAACAAACATAGAATGCATAGCGACATCTGACAAGCAAGTTAAGGTAAAAGAAGAAGAGGCACTGAAAATACAAATAAAGCAACCCCGAAAAAAAGAAAAACCGCTCAAAATTGCAAAACACTGGGATCATGCAAACAATATATTCTCTAGATTACGCCGAAACGTTGGCTTGTCACTGAATATTTCTATGAGCGAACAATGCAACTTATTAAAATCATGCTGCATTCGTATTAGGGGAGACGTGTGAAAAAACGCGGATGGATAGAAAAAGTTGCGATTACGGCTTGAACGTGGTGGGGCGTGGAAACACACAGCGTTTAACAAGACAGGAGAATCTATAAGCCCATTGACAAGTTTGTGTAAAAACAAGATATCCCGACCACGCCGTCTGTCAAACCGAGTACATAAACCAAGTATCTTGAGCAGCCGATCGTGATTATAATAAAACTTACATCCAAAAAAACGATTGAAAACAATGTGAATAAAACGCTTCTGTACACGCTCGATAGAGCAAGATGCTGTATCATTTATACAATTCCACACTATAGATGCAAACTCAAGTTTTGAGCGAATTAGACAACAAAATAAACTAACAATACATGCATAGGAAGAAAATTGTCTTGTGAAACGTGAAATTGCTCCCCATGGTTCCAAGTACTGCGTTGCATGTGACCGACACGTGATGACTAAAATTCAATGCCTTATTTATAAAGACTCCAAGATCACGAGCAACACACACTCGCTTGATGACGATGCCATCTAAGATATAGCTGAACGCAAGGGGCTTTTGCTTTCTACAGAGACCTATAGCCTGTGTTTTATGTTCGTTAAGCAGGAGATCATTATTAAAGCATTACCTAGCTATGTTATCGACATCGCTTTGAAGAAGTGTGCATTCAGATAATACCAGTAACCGAAAACGGGCAAAAATGGGCCCCATTTCTCATTGAAAATTTCAGGAAATCAGGTATACCTTTCTAATAAGACAACGGTTGGTGCTGAAACCTTGGCATACTGCTCGAACGGCTGGGGCTACGTTCTGACAGAGTTCGAGCTCTCCGCGATGTCTATTTTATTTTTGCAGTGACAAACCGACTTTAGCACTAACAGCCTCAGGCAGTGGGATACCGAAACTATGGCAGTGTGTTCTAATGTTTTTCTTTGCTGGGAGAATAAAACACTGCATGTTCCTGAAGGTTTTTATAGAGGAACTTACTTCGGGGTTCTTGTAGGTGGCATGCAAGTTTCCATTTCAAATAATAGTTTCCAATGAAATTATGATGTCTGCCCGAAAATTTAACAACAGTGTTTTCACCTAGCAGCTTGTTGGACGGGCCCAATATATTAGGCACCCTCGCATTAATGTTTTCATAATGTCTCGAAAGGTGGATGTGCACAGCAAAACAAAGTGTCCAATGCGTATGTCTGCAGCTCGACTGCATTTTCACGGTAAAGCCTGGGCAAACATCGCTTCGACAAGCCGGTCAACGAGTTCCGTTTGGCCGGCATGACGCTAAAATTTACATCTCCATGGAGCTTCACCGATTTACGGAAATTAGCAGTTGTTGTACTAAAGACAGTGTTGCCTCTTGCAACACTGTCTTGCAAGCAGCTTTCATTTCAACAGTGTGCGAGGACTTGCTACTAACTCTGTGTCAGTCACATTTAAGAGTTTTATGTGCCAAACCAGCAGAGGCCATCCGGCACGCCCTGCCGAAGGATAGAGAATTAATTTTGACCACCCAGGGATCTTACGACGAGCTACCGAAATCTGTTACACGGCGCCCTCTCCGCAACGAGCCCCCGTCAGATTGCGGGCGCCCTGGTTGGGAATCGAACCCATCAACCAGGGATTTGTGGGCTGGCGTTCTGCCTCTGAGGCGCTATGGCTAGAAATAATTCTGACAAAGCTTAAGCGACCGTTTCTTTAAGGTGGTGCATAGATTTGACCTCTTAAATACTGCAAAACTTTCGGTCTAGTCATGCGAAGATCGAAAATAATCCAGTACTACCCAACAAACGGCACGGCGTGTTCTCGTCGCAAGTGGTTACGATACAATCAAACACACTCGAGCACCATAAAGGCCGGTCTGCACACTTGCGACTACTTACACCGAGTGCGTTAAAACCTCGTTGCCAGAGAACAGACTGGCAATGGTGTAGCCGTGAAACAGCGACAATTTCCATGGAATTCCTACTTTTTTTTGCGCTTCATTCTTTCTTTATTAACTCAAAAAACCTTCGACTATGGTATCAATGACCGTTTCTCGTGGTTTGTAAGTGCCGACGCACTTATGAATACATTTGACCTGGCCAGTACTGCTAAACCTTCGCTCTAGTGAAATCCAGGGTCGGCTCATAGGCGGCACCAGCATATTGTTTGTAACTCAATCATAAGTGAATGCAAATGTATGAACCTAGCCTCGAGTCGTACCGTGTTCAGAGACGGCATTGCTCACGTCCCTTTTCTTCCACCCTCCCTCGGGGTAAAGTCCCGACTGATCGCACGCCCTCTCCGGCAGGGAGGCTTCCCCCAGCTTCGAGCCGTACCCGGACCAGCAGCCCCGGGCAGAGGCGGCTTCGGGGCGCTCCGACCACCGACCCAAGCGCCGGACCAAGTCCAAGCAGCGGCCGCGCCACGAGACCAGCATGTGAAGCGCTCTCCCCCGGCCGGAGGGGAGGGGGACACCGCCGTCACTCCCTCCCACCTCCTCCTTCCTCCCCCACAAAGCTTGGGATCACAGCGGCGTAGCAGAAGACGGCATTTGAGGGCATTCAGTTATCACCTCCCACCACTCCCCGTAAACCCACCATGACAAACCAACAATGCTGGCAGATTTTTTTTTTTTCTGTCCTAGTTTATTGTGGTTTTGGTTGCCTGTTTCTTTTTTTTGTATGTCTGAAGTGCAAATGGTGCGCAACTGTCACTCACACATACACCCACCCTTGATCCGATCGCACCCAAAGGATCGATGGCATTTCCGGCGACGAGGCCGCTGGCTGCCGCAACCGGGTTGTAAAGTGCTCAATTTGCAAGTGTGCCCCAACAATCTTTTTTTTTTTTCGTCGTTGGAACCTAGTTGGTGCCATCTTTCCGGCAGAGCTTCCCTACAGAGGCACGAGGGCTGCCCTTGGCCTTTGCATTCTGGCCCAAGTACCTAGGCACGGTGCCGACGCACTTACAACTACTAGTCGAAGCACAACTCTATGTCATTTGTTTTCTGGAGGAGTTTGTGGGTCGAGCTCCCTTAACCCTTGGGCGAGTAAAATTAAAGAAGTGTCGGATGAATCTAGTGCATCCCTTGCAGTAGCGTGCGAACCTCGTTAACCTCCTCGCGGCAGAGGATACCCACTGACATTGAATGCCGCCGCTTGTTTCGAGACGAGCAGAAAATAAAGAGATTTGCAACGGTGCCTTCTGGAAAGTGTCTCATTCAAAGCACACACTGGGGCAGAGGTCTGGTTTGGTCGAGCCCAGGGCTTTATTGAAGCGGCCACAAAATCGGTTACAAGACGATGGCTAGACGTCGAACGGGTCAACTCGGCGGTTGAGGTCGAGGAGGTCGTTGACGAAATCTACGTCCTCGTAGAGATCGGCAACTCCTCGCAGCGTCTTCAGCAGCTCCCCGGCCGACACGCCCACCTCCGCCGCGCATTCAGCCGAGACCTTGGTTGCAGCCTCGACCTCCGGCGACCTCTCGGTCGCGGAGGCAAAGAGGTAGAAGGGCAGCTTGACCTCGGCGCGCGAGCCTTCCTTGGCGTAGAAGAGGGTGAAGACCGGGTTACGGTTGACCTCGTTGAGCTTGCAGTAGACGCCCGCGCTCGGCCCCGCCCCGTCGCGCGCCACCAGAGTGCGGAAGTCATACAGGAGGTTGCGCTTCTCGGAGTAGGCGAGCGCGCTCTGGAAGGCGCCCCCGACATACAGCACGTTGTCCCACTGCTTAATCCGGCCCGCCCGGGTCTCTCGCACGCGCCAGCGCACGTAGCGGCTGCCCATCGCCTCGTAGGAGTACTCCTTGACCGACTTGGCCGTGTTGGACTGGACAAAGTGGCCGCGGTGGGGTGGCCGGCCATCATCCATCACGGCGACAGGGAAGCCCACATGGTAGCCCGGGTCCATCAGGATCAGGCCCCCGCGGGCCCCGTCCCGCACGAGGACGCGCAGCGCGACCAGCACATGCTCTTTGACGCTCGATGCGTCCGGGGGGTCGCTGCGGCAGTAGGCCTCCACGTCTGGGATCCACTCTTCGCACGAGACGAGGAATGGGCTCGCCCCCGCGAACACCTGGCGGATCTTGCGCGCCAGGTGCAGGCTGAGCCCCACGCAGGAGAGGCCGTCCTCGACCACCCGTGCCTCGTAAGCCCGGTAGAAGTCGGCGAGGTCGGTGCCGGGACCGGCGCGCCGGTAGGCCGCGTAGAAGTGCAGTAGGTTCCCCAGGGTGTTGTAGCGGCGGGAGGTCAGCTCCGCGCGCACGATCCCTTCCAGCTGGCCGAGGAAGGTGGTCAGCTCGGCCGTGGTGCGGAAGGAGAGCGGCGCGGCGCGAATGGGCTCCCAGCGTGGCTGCGCCAGGAGCCTCGGGGCGGCTGCACCGGTGGCGGGGGTTTCAGCCCCCTGGGGGAGAGTCTTCACATGTCCGTTGTCCTTCAGAGGCTGCTCGTCGTTCACCTGGAACAGCAATCAGACGGGGCGTTAAGAAGGGCCCGCCGTCGGAAGGGATAACTATGGCCCGTCGGGGACCGGTCTTCGCTAAGTCCGAGCGCCGCATTTTTGGCCGCACAAAGGTAGGCTCCGCTTCTGAGCTAGCGTAGGTCCTCGACGGAAAATGATTTCCAAAAGGTCCCCACTAATTCTGCCATAAAGCTCTAAAGCTGTCGATGGATATGGTGGATTATTCGGCTCGTTCCATGAGCAAACTGCCTCAACGTATTCTATATCTGTCCAAGCCCGGTAACTGCCAGTTCGCACATGCGGTGCAGCACCGAGACAGTGCAAACTCTGGGCTGCATTGGCGCTAGTGTCGGCACTGGCTCAGCGCCAGGTTAGTGCTGCATTGTGTGTATAAACAGAAAAAGTCCAGGTCACAGGCAATGCTGCTATAGCACAAAGTCTGGAGTTATGGTACGCCATACGTGTGAAGAGGCCTTAAGTCTCTCGGAGATTGTTGGGTCTTCTCTGCCAGCTGAGAGCCGAACACCGGCATAATGCTGTATACAGCGAATGTGGCCGACAGGCAGGGGTGGGACTCACCGTTTGGGCCGCTTCATGGTGGTGGAGGGGGCACTTGTCATCCTTGGGAACGGATACGAAGCTCCCACGCCGAAAAATGCACGCAAGGCCGACCAACCTGCACAAAAAGGGGTGTTAGGTCGACCACTTGACAACCATACAGGGTTGTCGCTAACTTTGAAAGATTCTAATGGCTGCATATTTGTTTTGCAACCTACTAGACCCCATCCTAAATATAAATGCAAGCACGGGAAATTTGGGATGCCTTTTGCGGCATGTCTTTTCGTCTCGTCATTTGTCAATCAATGCCTCGATGATATGCTAGTTGAATAAATAAACAAGCCAGGTAAACAAAATACTTTCTTCAGACCTCGGCAGACGGTTGAGGTTTGTTTGCAAGAACCTTAACTTTAATGCCCTTTTTGTTTTGTTTTTCTCCAGCAATGGAATTTCTGGTTGTGGCCCGATTATTGAAACATTCGTCGAAAGGACGACTGCCAAATATTTCACCACAAATTGCAATAGACCCCTTTCAAAGTTATGCCCTGTAAAGTTTGATAAAATGCAGCACAGTGACGTGCCCAAAAGACACCATAGAATAGCTTTTATAATGTTCTTGCTGTTTACACTGGTCCTCCAGGATGCAGGGTTTTCTATGCTTTCAGCAGAAGCCCACAATATTTTGAAAGGGGGCGTGCCTACTGGTTACTTAGACTGGCATGTCCCGTCGGCAAATTGGATGGGACATCGAATGAACAGCCACCTACCATGACAAGAAGTGGAGAAGTACTCTGAGTCAAGATGGCCATTCTGAGACGAAGAGGCAGACCAGGGACAATAATGGTGCCAGGTAGTTGCCGTTCACTTCAATCTCCTCAAGGTGCTGATCTGAAAAGGGGACAACACTCTCGTCAAGACAGCTTTCCGAAGTAGCAGACGACAGCCCGCGTGCCATTACGAGCACACTGGGTCAGCCAGGCGCCTCTCGCAGAGCACCCCTTCCGCAGAAAACGAACGATTGCAGAATGGCTGCGAATCGAACGATACCGCCGAGCAGAAAATTTTATACTGCGAGACACCCCGTTTTGATAAGACGCGTTAAACCGACCCGAGGACAAGAGATCTCGTCGGCCTTGACAAAGGCAATCGAAGGCTGTCAGGTGGGCTGACAAACTGCGAAAGAACCTTTTCTGGTGGGGTTCCCCCCGACTTCGTTGACATCCGATCATCTCTCCCCTGGAAGTGGTCGCGTGCGCGGAAGGAAGCTGTTATCTGCAATCTGGATGTCCGCTGACGGTACCAACGAGTGGCTGCTCAGCCTTTTATGGCAACCTTGGCGCCGCGACCACTTCAGACGCCGATAGGAACTGCTGCCAATCTCTTTGGCAATCGAAGCAGACGTCGGGAGTGTCCCGATCGGCAGACAGAGTCGACGATTGCGTAACGAGCGCCGAGTTTACGTAATCTGACACGTAGCAATCACGCGCGAAGCACGCTTGTACCACTGCAACCGAGCACAAAAACAAAACGAAAAAAAAAAAAACCCGCCACTCTGCAATCTATTTTTTGTGCACGTGTCTCGGATTCGTGACGTAATGCGTCGGCGCTTGCCGTGAAGCCTCAGCTGACGCACAACAAAACACAACGCTGGCGTTACGTTCAAATAAACCTACAGGATCGTATCTACCGTTTCGATGGAAAGCTACGCGCAATAAGTAGCGGTCGGGCCCAACACCCATGTTCGGGCCGGAGACTACGTAAACGAACGCGTCCGCAGTGAACGGTGTCGCGATCTTGGTCGCGATGGGATGCAATGCGCAATGTCTCGCCTGTCGTTGGAAAAGCCTACGCATGCGGTCTTTCTGCGCACCGTGCCCCGCAAGTGCTGTGTCTCTGATCGCGGCTGCCGCGGCGTCCAGCAGCGCCGTTCGCAGGTCAGGTCAGATCTCGAAGCGGTCACGGGAGGTGTCTTCCCCGAACGGCGGGGGGGCATCCCAAATGCGTGCACTGACCCCACAACTCGAGCGCGTCGGCTGCCATGTCGTCGACGAAAGAGGCTTAGGAATCGCTGTGGTACTTACCCATACAACGGTGTGCTCCGACGGTCTAACCAAGGAGACAAGGGGACTCGCCCTCCCAAGAAACGAAAACTGCCCCTAAAACTAAACGCGTCTTCTCGCTTGCGATGGGCAGGGCCGCCGAAGAGTCTCTTTATACGCGAGCCGGGGCGAGCCACGTGACCCGCAGCCAACCTCTACCGCTGCCTTCTGCCGTGCTGCGCCAGCTGCTGCGCCGCGCGCCAGGCCGACGATCACATGCTCGCCTGCGATAGGGAGAGACGTGTCACGTGATCACTCAGACCGGCGCGGACTGTTGACTATCAGTGCAGTATTGCAGTTGCGCCAGTGGCGTGCCTAGCAAAAAGTATTTTCCGGAAGAGGGGAAGGGGGAAAGGGGGGGGGGGGGGGGGGGGGCCGTGCTTATGGGGCTGAGTTTACACCCACCACGATTCCACCGCGGGCTGCGGTCGCCGATGCCTTTTTAATTTTAGAACTTGTTTGGGCTCACTCGGTATGTGTGGCGTTTGTTAAGCTGGAGCGATCACTTTTCCAAATACGGGGCAGGGCGCTTGGGAGCAAAAAATCCCGTGTTTTTTTCTCACCGCAAAAACAAACACCGCATCGCAAAACGCTCGGTCTCTGCCCAAATGTAGCGCTATCGCGTGGGACGAAATTCGAGGAGAAAATGGAGGCCAATGAAGTCATGCGTCTTTCTTTGACAAGGAACTGACCCCATTTCCTTATCGAAAATTTCTGAGAATCGCTTATAATTTTTGGAGCGTTTTCAGTTAACAAAAACGGTGTCCACTTTTCTCCCACACACCCTGCACTTTACTCCCTCGCTCTCTCACATCAAAGCTGCGCTTGCTCTGCCGTTTCAAGTGCAGATTTATGATTTTTTTTTTTATTTTATTGATTTTTTTTGCGCGCAAGCGCTATCGTTAACTTTTTTTTTTTTTTTTTTTTTCAGAGCGGAGCTGTGACGTTTGTCGAGGGATTGCCGATGAATGAGTCCATGGGGACCACTTCACGTCACTTATCGCGACGGATGCGGTTAATGGCTCACCAATAAAGGGTCGGTGATACTTGCGTAACTCGTCGGCAATTTTGAGAAGTTTCTGCGGACGGGAACGGAGGAATCGTAGGAGGTTGTACTTCATCAAACAATCACGCCGCACACTTTTTTTTTTTTTTTTTTTTTTTTTGTACCAATAACATTTTACAAACTGGAAGAACCAAAAAACAACAAGTCACCAATATACAGTCTCAGTTTGAGACCCGTTGCCCACTTTTTTATACACAAGTCTCCTCCTGTTTTCGAGATATTGAAAGTTCACCAGCCCTGCCTGTGCATGTTCTCCATCTTTTTTTTTTTTTTTTTTTTTTTTTGTCATTGTTTGGCAGATATTAAGCAGAAGCGGTTTGTGAGAATGCGAAAACAACCCCCTATCTCAGAATGCCAAGAATTCTCACTTCGGTTGCGAAGGGAAAAAAAAAAAAAAGGGGGGGGGGGGGTGTATATAGTTTGTGTACTTAGCGTCGTAGTAAGTTTTGGGAGCGACGTAATCGATCTGGGATGGTGTGGGAGAGGAGACCCGTTTCACCTTCCGTCCAAGCGCAGCAGATCTCAGAAGCCATCGGAGCCAATCCAAGGCCGTGTCACGTGACCTTAGAGAGGGGGCACAGCGACGCGCGGAGAGCGTACCATTATTCACTGGCTACGTCCACAGAACGGTATTTGCGTAGCTCGCAGCGTCCGCTGCGTCCGGACGCAAGGTGAAGCGGAGGTGGTCCGGTACTCAATCCAAGTAATCAAGTTACTTGTAATCGATTACTTTTTGGAGTAGGAGCTCAGATGATATTGTTTTGCGCTATCGCAAACTGTTTTTTTATTTTTTATTTTTTTTTAACATTTCTGGAGGACGGAAAAGCCTTTCCTGTGATTTCAGACAAAGCTTCAGATAACTGGCAACCATGATCTTAAAGGTCGACGACCAGACTCGAGATACTGCAGGGCAGAAAGCCCGAGGGAGAAGGAAACAGGCAACGGTGGAAGGGGGAAGAGGAGGAACCGAGGGAAAAGTGGAAAGCGGGAACTGGTCGTCGACCTGCAAAATATTTTTCAACCAGGGTGAAAATCTTTCTCGCCACCCTTCCCATTTCTTCCTCTCCGACTGCTATCTTGTCGCCGTGGGGACTCCTTTTGTTGCTGCATCTAGTTGCCGAAAACGCCGCGGGATCTTATCCGGGTTCTTCCAGCCCCAAAATGCAGCAACAAAATGAGTCCCCCCGCCCTCAAATTAACGCAACTGCGTATGTTTTTTTTTTTTTTTTTTTTTTTGCCGTACAGTCATACATGGCATTAAATAGAAGCGTTTTATCAGCTCATTTCAAGAGTGGGAAAGGGGAAAGGGAAGAGTGGCGAGCAGGATTTTCACCATGGTTGAAACAAATATTTTGCAGTTCTGAAGGGTCGTTACTCTGAAGCGTAGCTTATTTAGTGGCTGTATTGTAGACCACTGTCGGAACAGGAAGGCAGAGAGAGCCGGGAAAGGAGGGGAGGGGGGGGGGAAGAGTTTTTTTTTTTTTTTCCTTTTAATGAGGGTATTGGCTTTTTGCGGAGCATTATTAATTTCCCTCTTTTTATGTAGGTGCATTTTCGATTAGATATTACCAAGACGTACACGTTTCAAAAGCATCGCTTCTTCCTTCGACAACCAAATCCTGTAAGAACTACTTTGCGCGACGTATGATACGATAAATTGTGCTAGCTGGTGGTACATTTCAGGATTAAAAGCGCTAAAAAATGAGAACGTGTAAAAGAAGACACACACAGTAGAGCGCACTTGCAACTGAGGTTTAATCTGATTTAAACCAAAGAAGAAACATATATGCCTTATCAACAACCATCCACGTCATGTAAATTGATTATTGAACAATGTATTTACATGACGTGGATGGGCTGTTGACAAGGCATATATATTTCTTCTTTGGTTTAAATCAGATTAAACCTCAGTTGCAAATGCGCTCTACTGTGCGTGTCTTCTTTTACTCGTCCTCGTCTTTTAGCGTTTTTAATCCTGAAAAAGTATGATACGACCCGACCCCCGCCCCCTTTTCGCAACCTCTACCTATACATTTCTTCCGACGTCTCTGATCCCGATATGGCGGGTTCGAATCCCGACCGAGATGACAAAGGCATAGTGCGGAGAAGGCGCCCTGTAACCGAGCTTTTGGGTACACGTCAAAAGATTCCCAGGTGGTCGAAATGAATCCTTAGGACTCCGCTGGGGCGTACCAGACGGTTTGGCACGTAAAAAACCCCAAAGGTTCGACATTTTCCACGTCTCGCTTGTTCCAGTACTGCTGGCACAAACTTGAACAAGAAGTTTGTGTCAGAAGTATTTCAGTGTTTGCTTATTCCCCGAGGGTTCTACTCGGTGCTTGGACGAAGGCAACAATGATTCAAGAGGTCCCGGCATACGCCGCCTTGAGAGTTCGTGTGTATGGCGCATTCCGAGGCAATGAACACGCGCCTGCTGGGCTGCGGGGCTGCACGCTGGGCAGTTGAACGGTGCACGTTGCCTGATATTACACCGATAATAAAGGAAGTCCGGAGATGCACGCTGGCCTCACATTTTTTTTTTTTTTTTTTATATAAGGAATAAAACAACCAGAAACTTTTTTTTTTTTTTTTTCGCGTGTTATTCTTCCGAAGCTTCCATTTACTTCTGTCGAAATATTGTTGGATGTCAAACCAGCTGGAAAGTGAGTTCAAAATCCGGCGAAGTTGACTCGGGTAATCAGAAAAGGCAGCTGTGCTTCCCTTCTCTGAAATCTCATTTTTGTAAAAACTTTTTTTTTCGCAGCTTTCTTTTTTTTTTTTTTTTTTTTTTTGCGTTTAGAGTTATAGATAAAGGAAGAATTTGGCCAACGGGCCTGGCCTGCTTGACAGCTCGTTAGCTTGACAGTACGTCAAACGAACGCCATGGCCACGCCCCCATTAGGCATCTTCGAGCCAACCGACGGCTTGGCTGTCGGTTTTCTTTTAACGAATGACTGTCCTAATCTGTTTTAGGGCAACATTTATGTTGTCTCGTGTTTGTCAGAAACTACATAAAGTTAGTTCCCGGTTTCCCTGCAAATTTTCCTCCGCGCGCCCAAAATGCCGAGAGAGAAAACAAGTGGAAAGGAGGTAACTACCACTACCAGACACTTCGCTTGGAACACTCCGGGTTTCCCTCGGTTTTAATACAGGGAGTTGCGGAATCCCTTCTAAAGAAGTTGAAATGCTCTTCCGTTGTACCTAAGAGGAAACCGAAGAATTTTGTAGTGCTACCTTACATTCATAAGGTGTCGGACAATCTGGAAAGGATAGCATAAAAGTTCGACGTGGACGTTGTCTTCACTGCCCCGCGCAGA